GGGCAGGGAGGCTTACAGGGTGGAAGATAGAGAAGCTAGTAATGTTGTTCATATCCAAGCAGAACACTGGGCGTGGGGGATGGATCTGCAGAGGGTGAGCCTGGGGTGAGTCATAGACACAGGTTAGCTAAGCAGTGGTAGTATATAGACTGACAGTGGCACTGGGTTGGCCTCAATAGAGGCCATGTTACTCCTTTGAGAACTTTTGTTTCTTCCTTTTCCTCTCACCTGTCACGGGAAGCCCAGCCTCTTCCTGCAGATTCTGTTTACTATTTAATTACCACTCAGAGTCAGGAAGCCATGTCCAACCCATGACTGACTTTCTGTTTGTTTGTTTCTCACTTATATACCTAATAATTGAGTATTTGCAGCCATCCTGGCTCCTCAATCAAACACTCCAAACTCCCACTTCTGACACAGCTGGAGCTGGAGGAAACCAGAGGCCCCTTTAAGGAGAGGGTACAAGTCAAAAGACAGAACCCACAAAAAAATAACCATGAACTGGTATATCAACCTGCTGTGAAGTGACTTCACATGTCCTAAATCCTACGCGTAGTTGACTTATTCTCCAGCCAGGAATATTTTCTGTGTTTCCTTGGTATCTTCTTCTGCAATTGGTGTCTAAGCCACATTTCTTAGACTCTTCACTTTTTCACTGTCTCCTTCCCATTACCCCATGACCATTCCACTCCAAATTACAAGCCTTATAACAATATTCTAAATGCTTTTATTACCACAATTATACTCAATTCAGTGCCGTATAATAAAACTCCAACCTTGGATCATCCCAAATGTGGATCATCCCAAATCCCATCCATCATTCTGCTTTCTTCCTAATCATATCCTAAGTGATTTTCCATCACTGTTAGAGGAAAATCAAACAACTACTTAGATTGAAACTGCTAAAACGCCATGGCCTCACACTTAAGCTGTCTAGCAATCCTGCAGTTCTTCTGTAAACAGATCTCTTTCCTATTCTCCACTGTGTCTATTTTTAAAATTCTGTGTTTCCTCAAATCTCTAAACCTGATGTTGCCCACTTCCCTCTCAACAAATGTCCTGACCAACTGTTCATAAGAAACACAGAAACCATCAGTAAGGGATTATCTTGATTCCTCTTGAAGGGCTGGAATAGCTAGATTTTTTAAAAAGTGTCTCCATTCAGAGAGGCAGGCCCCACTTCCTGTAAAAGCAGTGTCACTCAGGGGAAATGGAAACTTACAACAGAACAGTTCGTTAGCGTTCACCAAATAAGGAAATCCCCTGCATTCGATCAGGAAATACCAGAGGTGACCCTAACCAATTCACCATTACCCCCACCCCTCAATGAGGTAACCCTGCTTTAAAAGAGGCTCCCGAGCACGGCTCAAGGCCTTCCTCTGCCCTCCACTGCGCATTTGAGTAGACGGGGTCCCTGCCCCAGCTTGTACTTCCGAAATAAACCTTGCTTTTGCAGTGTTCGAGTCTCTGGCGGCATTTGGGGATCCAACGATCTGGGCACAACACTCTATCAAACACAAAATGTAACTGATTCTGAACATATACCCATGGTGCATCTTCCTTCCCTCTTGCTATAATTATAGAAATGTATATATATATATATATATATATATATATATTCTTGCACCTCATTATTCTCTTTTTCGTATTTATTTTGGAGATATAAATAGGAGTTTCTGCTTGCTGTTGTAGGCTACCTGCACATCGCTTAGCAAGAAGCTAGCTGAGATTTGTGGCTCTTCATTCAATGCGTTTCTATTGTTTTCAACTTCCTACAAAGTGTTCAGTTTCAAGGCAGGAAACTGATACCTCTAACAGCCGGCTGCAAGAAATCTGTCTGTGACTTTCTTGAGCAGCTGCTCCACAAATCTAGTCTATCTGTTATTTTCTTTCCCATCTAGGACAAATGATAACCACAGGAGAGTTAAAGCTCCTTCCCATGAGTACTGCTCACTGTGGAGCCAACTGTGCCCAGCCAATGACATCTCTCTGTCAAGTAGTTGAAAGGAAAGATACCTAAATATCTCCTGACCTTGAATGTGGGAATTCCAACTTGCACTCACAGATACTTGTCCAGTAATTTATGAACCCCCTCCACCCCATGTTAGCTGCTCCTCAACAATAGCTAAACGTTGCCAGTAACAGTATTTGCAGCCATTTGTTATCTCAAAAGACAACTCCAGACTCCCTCCCACCTCTGACACATCTCGAGCTGGAGGAAGTGAGAGGCCTCTTTGAGGGCCTCAATGATATCTAACATTCAGATACGGAACCAAAACCTAATAATCCATCCTTCAAGAACCTCTTAAACCAGTCTGCCATCCCGTGACTACACTGCCATTCTTCTAGCCAAGACTTCTTGTATTACTGCTAAACCCTCTCATCTTGTCCACATCTCTGCTCCCCTCAATGTGTTCCCAAACTGCAGAGGAGTCATAAAGATGTAGATATGATTATGGCATGACCCTTCTCACACACTCTTAAATGTGTTCATACATTTAAGATAAAGTGCAAACTTCCCTGGAGAGGCTATTGCTATCAACAACAATAATTACAACAACTATCTAACTGACTACATGATGTATGCTAAGCATTAGGATAGGTGCTCATATATCTTAGCTTTCCAGTCTCTACTCAAATGTGGTGACATTAGTAGCATTATCCCCATGTTACAAATAAACACATTAAGATAAGTTGAAATAACAAGGCTTTATGGCTACAAAGAAGTTCAGCTAGTATTTAAATGCAAATCTGTTTGCTTTCCTGTCTATTTCCACCATACATATTTCCCTTAATTGCTGAGCATCCAGTAACTTTTCATGTCTCAATAAAAGTTAACATTTAATAAGTAGTTGCTGTGCACATGGTCTTTCAAGATAATTACATACATTCCCAAATTGGGGCATAGAAAGGTAAATTAATTCACCCAAAGCCATACATTTAGTAAGTGACAGAGGCCTAAAATCAGTTAATTAATAAACTAATCTGGTCTTCATTTGTGTAATAGGATAGCCCTGCTTCCCTCTTTGAATATAAATTGCTAGAGGAGCAAAAATTTCTGGGTGCTATTCGAGATTTCCATTAAATTATGCTGAGGGCTTCCAAGGATAAGTAGTACAGCCAGAGCCAGCCAGAAATGTGGCTATGATCTTATTTGCTAATCACCAAGCTTAACCTCATGACCTTATTTCCTCTTCTATATGAAGGTACAGTTTGTCTGTGGCTCATAGCATGGAAATCAGTGTAATAGTGATGGGTCATTTGCTGGAAAATCTTTTTGGTTTTTAGAAAAAGATGCAGTATAGTCATCTATGACAGAATAGCATTAGAAAAACAAAGCTAGATACTAGGGTTGACTCAAATCCCAAGGGTGGCCTCATGGAAAGGCAGTAGAATCAGCTAACAAAAATCGCATGGCTAGAGATCAAAGCAATTGCTTGGTTGAGCCAAAATTCCAGTCAAGTGTCAAAGCCAAGTTGAGGGCCAGAAGAGTCATGCATCACTTCTAGGACAGAGACAAGAGAAGAATGGCAAGAGAGGTTAGAAAGTAGAAGGTGAAGACAGCACAGTAGTGAAGAATAAAATATGACAGTAGTAGGGAGAGAAGACAGAGGAATAAGTTATCTACAATCTCATTTCAGCATATGCTCTTTTCTTACCATTCGGAAAGAACAACTAGGGTCTCTTCCTCAAGAAATACTACAAGTTTACCTTGTTATGCCTACCTTTAAAGCTATCTGCCTTAGTCTTTTCCTATCAGCACATATGCATTATGCAACATGGTCAACAGCTCTGTCACCTTAAAAGATTGAAGGAAGGCACAAGTAATGATATGTATTATTACCCCTGAGGACCATCTCATCAGACATGATCTACTTGGAGGGCTGAGTTAAAGCAAGGACAGTGGAGTCAGTGTGGACTTGTGTAACTTTAGGCAATTATAATGCCCTTTTATCTTTTGCCTCCCAAGCTAAATAATACCTTATCTCAAGTCATTTTTCTGTAAAGTGGGTGCAGCATTAACTTCGTGGAGTTCTTAATAAGAAGACTAAAGGGTTCACATATGTAGAGCACTTAGTAAACATTCAGGAGAAGTTAAAGTAAATAAAAAAGGTGTGACACACACCATCCATACTATTGGGTGTTTCTCAAATGTTTTGCATTCTATAATCTCTCCTAAGTAATGCAGGCATCACTAACAAAAGCAGAAATTAAAATCTGTGATCTTAACTTCAATTTTAAGATGTTTATCAATGGAGTGGTGGGTCTCATTCTGTGTCTTACCTCCTTCAAGGCTCTTGGTAACTTGTCACATAGAATTCCTGTCACTGGCAATCAGAAAATCCCTAAGATAGAGCAAGCTGCTGTGCTCACCCTGACACCAGAACCTTACTGCCCCAACGTACGGCCTTGATAAGTACCAGAGTGATGTGAATGATAAAAATTAAAGTTCCAACTACAGCACAATCATAACAGCACCCAAAATGAAAGAGAACAGATACTGAAGAGCAATAAGGTCCCTGCTCATGGAAATGAAAGGGCAATATGGGTCATGCCAGGCTAACCTAACACTTAAGAGGATTTGGCACAATTTTGTTTTAAAAATCTCACTTGTTAACCCTCTTGCAGGTAAGAGACTGACAACTTACGCAAGCAAATGAACTAATTATATGATTCTTTGACATTCTATCAGCATTGATCCAATAATGTGGGCAGTTGGCACCTATACTGACTTCACCTATATCTGTTAAGTAGCAGACGATCCCAAAAGAGACTTTCCACAGAACTATAGGCAGAAGGCAACCAACTTTATGGTAGTTCAAGAGCATAGGAAGTTCATTCTAGCTTATTAAAATACCAACACACTCCGTGGTAAATAATTAGTATATATCTTATAGCAGTTAATGTTATGTCATTTCCTTGGGTTCTAACTCTATTATCATTAGGATTTCAGTTTACTTTTACACAAGTGGTCCTTCTAAATTTCGCATTTTACTCACGTATGCTGTGAACACACACAATGGACTTCAAATCAGAGCATTTGATCTCTCCCTGTGCTCAACTTTCCAGGAAGATGTCACAGTTGCCCCTTCATAGCAATCAAAGGGCATTTCCATCTCTTCCTCTGAAAAATCACAGCTCTCAAATGGGAAGGCAAGGGGAGATGGTGCAGCTCTCACAGCCTCAGTTTTGAGAGTGAAAGGAGATGAAAGAAGATAAAAACAGACTTCAAAGCACTCTGAAACCTCCTTCCTTTACAAAGGGAGAAAATGGTGGTATTCAAAACACTACAGAGCAATATAAGCAGTATTGCCAACTCCCAAACAAGGAAACGGCCTTTCATGAAAAGAGTCTTACGTGACCTGAGACAACAGTTCTCTGTACAGTTCAGCAGTGGTTTTACAGATAAAATATCCCAACTTTGCCTCACACACTCACGATTCTAGAATATGGAATGTTTCAATATCAATTGTGTTCAAATTATTGCCACCCCATAATTTCCTCTATCACATTCCACTGAAAATGTAAGGTGAGGATACCATATGTTAAGCAATCTAAATTACTTTCAAAGCAGTCATTTAAATCCAAAGGAAATGAAGGCTACATACACAGTCTATTATGAACTTTTTATACTTAACTGAGAGATCTCATGGCCTAGGCAAATAGAAACTAATATTGAATCTATGATACACTTTTATTTTATTATAAATTAAAGATGTAAAAGAGGGTTGACAACTTAAAAAAAAAAACTTTGAAAAGAGGAGAGACTTTCAAAGCTGCAGTATGAAGCTCAGGACTTGAGCAGTAGACAATAATACTAACTTGGAAAGAACGGAAGTGAGCAGTGGATAGCAGTGAGAGCCAGGCTGAGCAGGTAAAATTTAGTATGTAGCACATATATGTCTTGTAGCACACTGGTGATGATAGTCACCAGAAGGCAATTGATAAGGTGAAGTCACTGCAGGAAGACAGTGCACTGCAATAGGGTATCTGGGAAGCTGGTCAACAGGAGGCAAGAATTGCAACAAGAAAGATTCAGCTCCTATACTGTTGTATGATTTTGATTACTGAAAGAAAGTGGAAAGAGAAAGAAGGCTCTATTTCAATATAAATAGCAACTAGTAAAGACCAACAATAACGACAATGATTTGGTGAGACACTTTGGGGTTTAGACCTTGGAATTAACACATTATAAGAATCCTTAGGGGGCCAGCACCATGGAACAGTAGGCTAAGCCTCCCCTCTGCCTGCAGCACTGGCATCCCATATCAGTGCTAGTTTGAATCCTAGCTGTTCCTCTTCTGATCTAGCTCTCTGCTGATGGTCTGGGAAAGCAGTGGAAGATGACCCAAGTGCTCTGGCCCATGCACCCATGTGGGAAACCCAAAAGAAGCTCCTGACTCCTGGCTTCAGATTGGCCCAGCTCTGGCTGTTGCACCCTTTGGGGAGTGAAACAGCAGGTGGAAGACCTTTCTTTCTGTCTCTCCCTCTCTCTGTCTGTAACTCCATCCCTCAAATAAATAAATAAATCTCTTTTTTAATAAAAGAATCGTGGTGTTCATAAAGTATTAGCTTCAATTTATAAGGAAGGAAACTTGTCTTTGAATTGTTTTCTATGTATTTATGACTCAATTTTGATAGATTGTATGTGTCCAGGAGTCTATCCATTTCTTCTACATTTTCCAAATTGTTTGCATCGAGATCTTTGTAGTAAATCCTGATGAGTCTTTTTATGTTGCTGGTCTGTCATTACACTTCATTTTTCATCTCTGATTGTATTGATTTGGGTCTTCTCTCTTTCTTTTTTGGTAACTAATCAATTTTGTTTATTTTTTCAAAAAACCAGATTTTCATTTCACTGAACTTTTGTATTTTTTTGTTTCAGTTTTGTTTATTTCTTCTTTAATTTTAATAATTTCTTTCCTCCCATTTATTTTGTGTTTGGTTTGTTGTTTTCCTAGTTCTTTGAGATGCATTGTTAGCTCATTTATTTGGTGCCTTTCCAATTTCTTGATGTGGCACCAATTGCTATAAATTTCCCTCTCAACACAGCTTTTGCTGTATCCCAAAAGATTTCATAGGTTGTATTTTAATCTTCATTCATTTCCAAAAATTTTTTATTTATCTTTTGCTTTCATCTATGACCCATTGTTCATTCAGGAGCAAGTTGTTCAGTCTCCATGGGTTTGCAAATGTTTTAGAGATTCTTGAGTTGTTAATTTCCAGCTTCATTCCATTGTGTTAGAAAAGATTCATGGTATGATTTCAATGTTTTTAATTGGCTGAGACTTGGTTTATAGCTTAACATAGAGAAAGTTGCATGCACTGATGAGAAGAATGCATATTCTGCAATTGTCAAATGAAAGGTTGTGTAGATATCAGTAAGGACCATTTGGTCCATATTCTTCATTATCTCTGTTGTTTCTTTGATGATTTTCTGTCAAATTGATCTATCCATTGATGAATGTTGGGTGTTTAAGTCCCCCATTATTGTTGTATTGGAGTCTAAGTCTCCCTTTAGATCCATTAGCATTCTTTAAATAGCCAGTAATCCTGATATTGGGTGCTTATACCTTTATTGTAGTCACATCCTCCTGTTGAATTGATGCCTTAACCATTACATAGTGTCCTTCTTTTTCTCTTTTAACAGTTTTTGTGTTAAAATTCATTTTGTCTGACATTAGGATGGCTACATATGCTCTTTTTTTGCTTTCTGTTAGCATGAATAACTTTGCCCATCGTTTCACTTTCATTCTGTGTGTATCTTTGTTGGTGAGCTGAGTTTCTTGTAGGCAGCAAATAAGATGAGTCTTGTTTTCTAACCCATTCCACCAACCTTTATCTTTTAGTTGAAGAATTTAAACTATTTATATTCAAGGTTACTATTAATAAGTAATGACATCGTCCTGAATTTTTTTTTAAATATTCCTATTGTTTACTTTGGATTTCCTTTGTACTTTTGCTGGAAGATTTTTTGCCTTCAGATTCTTTCATAATAATGACTATTTTCCTGTGTCTCTGTGTGTAGCACATTTTTAAGCATCATTTTTAAGTCCAGACAAGTGGTGACAAGTTCTTTCAATTTCTGTTTGTTATGGAAGGTCTTTATTTCACCTTCATTCATAAATGAGAGCTTTTCAGGGTACAGTATTGTGGATTGACATTTTTTTCTCTCTTAAGACTTGGACAATGTCTCTTCATTCTCTCCTAGCCTATAGGGTTTCTGATGAGAAGTGAGCTGAAAGACTAATTATAGAACCTCTGAAAATTATCTGGAATTTCTCTTGTGCACATTTTAGAATCTTCAGGTTTTACTGTTGAAAGATTGGCTACAACATGTGGTGGTGAAAATCTTTTCTGGTCATATCTGTTAGGAGTTCTATGTGCCTCATGTTCTTAGACACTTCTTTCTCCAAACTGGGCAAGTTTTCTGTAATTATTTCACTGAATAGGCCTTCTAATCCATTCTCTCCTTCCTCAGGAACTCCTAAGACCCATATGTTGGGACACTTGATTGTATCCCATAAAATCTGGAACATTGTCTTTAATTTTCCTAATTTCTTTTTCCTTTTTTTTTTCTCTTTTGTTCTGATTGAAAAATTCCCAAAGATTTGTCTTCTAGCTCAGACATCCTTTCTTCTGCCTCATCAAATCTGTTGTTAAGGCTTTCTAGTTATTTTTTATTTGACGTATTGAATTCTTCATTTCCAACATTTCATTTTGATTTCTCTTTAAATCTCAATTTCATGGGAAAATTTTTCATCCATGTCATATATGGATTTCTTTAACTTGTGAATTTGCTTCTCATTGCATCTGAGTAATCTTATGATTAATCTTTTGAATTCTGTTTCTGACATTTTATCAGTCTCTTCATCTTCATATTCTAATATTAAAGTGTTGTGTTCTTTGGGGGAGAGGGGAGTCTTGTCATCTCTCTTATTCTTTTTTCTTGAATTTTTGCATTTCTATTTAGGCATTTGTGGAGATACTTTTTGTTTTTACTCTGATGGCTCCTATCATTGAACTATGCCTCTGTGACTTAGTGGAGCTTCTGCTCTTTCAGTGAATACTCAGAGGCATGTGCTGGGTGTGGCCAGGGGGATCTGGTCCATGCTCCAGAGTAGGTGATTGTTGAAGTTGATTTCTTTCTGAGAGGATTCATTCTGAGAGGAGGAGTGTGGTGGGGGCAAGAGGCACAGAGTCTCCATACAGACCCCAGGAGTCGAGTAAAAGCAGGCCTGAGGCGAGCAGCCTGCAGACTCATTTATTTCAGTTGCTACAGCTGCTTATATAGGCAAGGCAGCCAATCCAGTCAAAGGGGTGGTCTATGCCCTAACCAATCACAGCCTGTTGCCAGGCATTTTCCAAAGCCATCCAATCACAGCCTGTTGCCAGTCAGGCTCTGTTGCCAGGCAGTTTCTGAAACCATCCAATCACAGCCTGTTGTCAGGCTCTGTTGTCATGTGGTTTCCAAAGCCATCCAATCACGGCCTGTTGCCAGGCAGTTTCTGTTGTCAGTGGCCATCTTGGCATGACCTTCTCACCTTCTCATTCCACCACATTTCCCCCTTTTCATTTATTTTTGAGCAATGGGAGGCATGATTCTTGGCCATACCATTGTTGACCCCATTTCCATGTGGTCTCCTGATACAGCTGCGACTGTCTTAGGTTGTCCCCCAGGGGATCTTACCCGTCATTGACTAACCAGTGCTCAAAATGTGAGACCACAGGAGTGCTTGCTCAGATAGGGGTAAGAATGAGGAACAATGGTAATCAGGAATGGCATGACTGCACACAGGCTGTGGGCCATTCGAGTGGCTGACCAGAGCTAGTAGGTTATAAAACAGTAACAGATGTGGCTATGGGCAGTTTCTCAGGGTAGGATGATAGGGCAGGTGCGTCTGCCAACAAGGCGGATTCTCAGTCTTGTTCAGCTGGTTCTGGTTGGTTGTCAGTTGCAGGCTTGATGTTTCTGGCTGGTACCCAAATGGGCTGTCCCACATACTCTGGAAAGACACAAGCATATCCTCGACCTTGGTTAGCAGAAGCCTTTTTACAGGTGTTGGAATCCAGGGTCTGAATTTTGTGTCCACTTTGAGATTAACAACAAACATGTGGGTGAGATGGGGTCTAGTAGCTGCTCTGAGAGCCTGGGGTGCCCGAGGACTGCCACAAATGTGCAGATCCTCACTGGGTGCGGATGGGATGACCTCGCATGAGTTATTGCCTCGAGGTCCTCTAAGTTCATCCTATGGGTATGTGGGGGTGGGTGGCTGACTATGCATTGCTACATTGTTTGCTACCTTGTTTGCTACATTGTCATTTTCACTGTCCAAGCTCTCTCTCCCTAAGTCATCAACTGTTGTCTGTGAGACAGGGACCTGGACTGTCAGGCCCTGATCACACATAGATTTACTATGTTTGGTAATCTG